TTTTATATGTAATATTATATTTATATATTTTTTAAATATAATAATTTATGGTACTGTATATCAAAGGCAAGGGGATCTTCCTAGCATTTGGCACCGTCGTGTCTTACGACACCAACAAAATTGGATTGGTGGATACCTACTCTTTTATATTTTATTTCTTAAATTATTCGCCGTCAACATCGATATATATATATATATATATATATATATATATATGTACTACGTACTAGATTTCGCATTCCGAACATACACTATGTTCAACTGAACTGTACTGCAATCCGTACAGTGTGTCACATTTAGTATGGTTTCAATCTACTAGTTAGTCTGTGGTTTCAATATACATGCAGTGTGGAGCGGCGCTAATAATACAAGATATCAAATTAAAGTTTAAATTAAAAACTGACCGCGCATGTGTGACTCTACTATCTCACGCGCATGCGCGAAGACATAGAGTAGTGCACATGTTTGTTTAGAATAGCTTCTCTAGTACGTACTCGTAGTACAGTAGTACATATAATTAAATGACCGTCAATATAAAGACTACGGCGAGATGCAAGAATACTGATCTAATATTTAAGCAGGCTGCAGGTGAACAATAAAAAACAAGAGGTAAATCATAGCAACATTATTGTATTTTCTTTTCTGAATTGAATCCTTTATGTGCTTACACAGTAAACACTGATTTCAACACTTACAACTAAAAATATTCTAAAAACAAAAGTAAAAGTATATCATTTTATAGAAATCTGGCTTGTGCAATTATTTTTTTCAATGTAGCCGAACTTAAGTATCGAGATACGAGTGAGTAAAGTGTTAAGTGCTTGGTAGGATACCTTGTACATTCGAATTATGTATTGTGCTCAGATACTGTGCATTTTAAAAAATCCAGGTGCCCCTGTTTCATCGCATTACAATTTGCCCATGTGCACGTAACATCGTTTACTTATTTTTCATTATACAAACTGATATAGTATATTTAGTTATATTAATCTAATAATATTGCTATCTTTTTCATTTTAGTCTATAGAAATGACAATTTGCAAAGTGCTTTTTTTATATTCGTAAGATTCGAATTTAAAATTAATTTACAGAAAGTCCCACAGTATTTTTTTTTAAATTAATGTACAGTATTAATGAACAAGCGAAAGTAATCAATCAGAACAAAATATCCCGATCTCGCAGTGGCAGGTTGCGTTTCTATTTGCAGATATTTTTTTATAAATAAAAAGACTAGTTATCACATCTTTTGAATTGTTTATCACTCGTCGGTATAAAAAGTTTTAATGTATTCGAGCGCGCCAAATATTTAATATCCCCCTTGCTACTATGGATGTAATATACAAATAAATACTTTGCAATACAATGTTTGAAGAGTTTCACTTTCTTTAGATTAAACATCGCCACCGTATGTGAAAAATTACACTAAGTACTGATAATGTTAATTAATGTTTCAGCTTAAGATTTTGTAGTATTTAACAATCATTAGAAAAAAATTAATAAAAAAATGATTTATTAACAAAACCAGCAAAGAACTATTTTATCCAAAAGATGGTTCTTTGCTAAAACAGGAAGACGTTGTAAAGTCCGCCTTTTGTTTCTATATCTATAATAAGTGAGGTTCAATAAAAAAAAACTTTCTCTAAACTTTTAAGTAGATATTTTTGAGTCAAAAATGTAGGAAACTCACTCAGTTATCCCATATCATATTAAATGTCACACTTCTTATCCGTCATACATCCAAGATTGGCACGCTCTTTACAATTATAACATTGATAATAGAAGCGTAGTACATTGGTTGATTTGTCCGCCAAAACATGCATTACAAATATGCCTACCTTTCTTTGTACAGAAGGCCATAAAAATAGTATATAAAGAGGCTACTACATTATTTTTCCATAGTGATATATACACTCATATTTAATCTTGCCACGATGCGTACAATATGTAGGTACCGTGTGTATGATACTCGTGTATACATTACCAGAGTAAGTTTAATGTAGATGCACCATAAGAAATTCTTTACGAGTTTTATTTATACAAATAATATTAGGTACTCATACGATAACATTACGTACCTATTTAGTTGTAATTTCATGTTGTATTGTGATATGCGTACGGCGAATGTTAATGACAAACGCATATTTTCTATTAAAAAAATTATCGAAAAGTATATTTATTGTGTACATTGGATTTTCATTTCAAAGCTATAATATGTGTTGGTGTTATAGGAGAAAATACAATTGAAGTTTTATGAAAGATAAAAAAAAATTCACGACGTAAGAAGTTGAAGGAAATCTTATATTATACGATCTTGACTCGAAATTTACAATTGGTCAGTCGAAAAAATTGAGCATACCATATACCAATAATTACACAGGTCTGTGGATAATAATTTATAGCGCAAACTGCGATCACTAACAATCTAAAAAATTACACTAGGGCGGGATTCTTTTAAAAGTTGATTAAAAACCAAACCGATACCTAATGTGCCATTTTTGTAACGTACCGCGACTTAACTTAATACTTACTACTTGTTCTTCATCGGCAGTGAACTAAATGATGCCCTCTTGACATACAACGCATTACTCGGCAGCTAGCCCTTTATACTCGTTAGACTGGTGCGCTCTAGTTGTTTTCCAAGTAATCACGCAGGCACATACGAACTGCACCTTAACATACACCCTACCTATCTATCTATATTCATATCGAGATATTAATTTCAATTTATTTAAAGCGTACATTTTAGACTTATATCGAGGTCCTTACTAATAATATTCCAATGTCATCATTTAAAAAATAAATCGATTTACAAAAATTAAATGATATGAAATGTCTGTAGTGCTATGCGTGTAAAGAATCGATAAAAACACTGTAATCGATACCGCGATTACATCTATAACAAAATAATAACTAAACAGTCTTCGCGTTGACTGGTCAACTACTTATAAGTAATAACGTGTGTTCAGGTGGGATTGCTTCAGGAACCGAGAGGTAAAATGATAACATGACAATTAGTTGATAAAAAATAATTTACAACAAGTGGAATTTTAATAGTAAATCATAAGAGCCTACAATTGACTGAGGTTTACTTTTTGGGAAAGTTTGTTATATAAAAGAAATAAGAGGAAGTGACATATACGAAATAGAAATAAATTATTTAACTATAACCATTTATAAATCTCGATAAAAACAACTTAAGAACCTCGGTCACCAACTATTTAAATAAATAAGTGCGATAAGATCATTACCTAAGGTGTTATTTTACATATGTACAATTCAAACAAAATTTACAAAGTTACACACAAAATAAATTAATAATTTGTACTTGAAAAGAAAAATCCATTTCATAACTTCAAACAAATACCGTTTTATCTTCTGCTCGTTCTATATTATGCCTAAGTCTACCTAAGATTATTTTGTGTTTTGTTATATTATTATAAACGACTATGCAACCGTTATTGGAATATAGCAACCTTCAGATTTTGTGTTCTGGCAGCATTATTGCAATGTGCCAACAACGGTCGCACAGTGCCACGCTAAATTTATTCGTAAATAGTTACATTACTACAATATTATAATGTTGGTATGAGCGGTGTCGTGGATGCTTTCCCGCTCATACCTAAAGCGTTTAGGAGAACGTGTTCCCGCACTGCCTGCCCGCCACAATTTTATCGATAACATAGAAGGCGTATGGCACTTTATAACTTACTTATCTGTGCTTATAAATGTCAAAGAAATGTATTTTTAGTTGTGGACTTTTATTTGCATCATCATAGTGCACCATAGAATAAATTAATATTAAATGATGTTTTGCGAATATATCGAATAATTAATTGACATTCACTCATATAGAATAAACAAAGCAGGCAGTGCGAACGCAAAACGCCACGGCATCCACATTTTTATATCTAGTTATAATATACATTAATATTATGACAGTCAAACAGTTTTGCGACTGCAGTCATTGCCCTAAGTACTTATGACAGTAAGTCGTCGCCATCTAGTTTACGGCTGACGACAAAGGTGGGTTAAACATATTAAAACTAAAGAAACAATAACATAATAACATCTATAAACAAATACAACGACCGCCAAACATATTAAAAACAAATTGTAAATATTGCGTTAAAGCGTAATTTAAAAAAATCTAGAGTTTATGTACTTACTTAAAATAAGCAAAACTTGCACTTTAATCCTGGCCTAGAATTGGCCACGTTTAAATTAAAACTCATTTAAAATAATTTTTTCGGAACGTTACGTATTTTTCTAGTTATAGACTGTTACGCTTAGATATGGTTGCCTTTGTGTCACACCGCCTTAGCACGTGCCGCATCTTATCAAAGGCGCCGCCTCGACATTAAAGGTCGCCGTGTGCGGCGTACACCCGCAGGAGAATTTGGCATTTTCAAACGAAGCGGCGTAGTGAAAGATTCTTCGATATTTAACTTATCTTATGTTTATTATTTATATTCGTATTTACTACAATAACCATATAGAATAGTAAAATATTTATTTAACAAACTAAACATAACTAACAAATAAGTGCGCCTCCGGGTGTACCGACATTATCTTAGTGAACAGACTATACAGTAATTTTTCTTGCGTATAACGCTTGGCAGGTACAATATGTTAATAACAAATATTAGGGGTAAAAATATGTCTATTTTTAATAAAATGAAATGAAAAAAATCTAGTTTTTTTTTGTAGAACAACTAAATGTTTGACAATTAATTTTATTGAATTACTTTATGACCGCCGATTTGCATTATTACAATCGTTGGGTAATCGATATAAAGACTGATATAGGCTTGTTGATACTGTGTAACGTTTTATCTATCGAGCGAATTGTATTGTTTGGTCTTTTAATCGTTTATTTTGGCTTCTCGGTTATAATAAAGACCGGGTAAGGCAACGTTCATCGTAACTTTATCGCTTTGTAAGTAAATCGTAAAATGTACGTATAGCGCAGCGTCGATCGAATTATTTTGGTGTCACAACAGTCAGCAGACGGTTTCAGCGGGAGCGGCCTGCGAGATCGGTGCTAGAGGCGACAGCGTAGAGAGCGTTGCCAGCGGAGCCAGCGGGGACAGTTGGGACAGCGGCGGCGGCGGCGCCAACGGCTCCGGCGAGCGGCGCCGCAGCGCTTGTCGCTTGCGGAACTCCAAGAACTCCTCTTTCATGGCGCGCACACGGGCTTCCACGTCGTCCCGCGACGGGCGGATCCGCGTCCGCTCCGGGGTGGAGGGCGTGGGCGTACGCGTGGCGCGGTCCCACTCGTAGTGCACATCCACGGAGCCCGCGTCCACCGCGGCGCCGGAGTCGGGCCGCGGCGGCGCGGGTGGCGCGGGCGCTGCGGGCGGGGCGGGCGGCGCGGGCGGAGGCCGGTACGGCGGCGGCCGCCACTCCGCCAGACTGCCCGTTCGGCTGCTGCGGTTGTGCTGCGACGATGCGTTCTTGCTGCCGAAGCCGCTGGACGACGAGCGGCTCTCCGGCGACGCCTCGTGCGGCAGCGGCTCGGGCCGAGGCCGGCCGTGCCGCCGCGCCCGCCCCGGCACGGCGCGGAACGCGAACGGCGGCGTCGGGAACGAACCGTCCGCGGAGCTCGGGAACGGAACAGAGCTGAGGTCGGACACGTGGAGCGGCGACCAGGGCGCCCACGCGGGCCACGGCGGCCACGGCGGCCACGCGGGCCATTGAAGCGCCAGCGCCGGCGAGGAGGCGCGGAAGGGCGGCGCGGCGTGTGGAAGGACTGGCGCGGGGGAGGGGGAGGGGCGCGAGCGCGGCAGGAAGCCACCGTCGTCGGAGGAGGAGGGTGCAGGAGAGGGCGACGCGGAGGAGGGCGCCGACACGCGCCGTACCACGCCCCAGTAGCGGCTCTCGTCACCGCACCGCGACGCCGGCCAGATCCAGTTCGCCGTGAACCGTAGACACTGTACTACACTCGATATTCCGCGTTCACTAAATCTGTCAATAATTTAAAAAAAATACGTTATAAATTATCACATTATACATTTTTACATTATAAAGCCTAAACGGAAAATTTGTAGAAGTGTTTCAATATTAACTAACCTGATTTCCTGTTTAAACGCAGCACAAATAAAATTTAATAGTCATTAGAAATGTGACCGTTTTAAAACTAATCGTGTTTTAAAATTGATTATGTAGTTGAACTTACTTTTTAAAAGGCACTTGAGTGCTGTCAGCAGCGCGTAGGTCGGTGAGGCGCGCGGCTACCATGTTGTATGCTGCAATCGAATTATTTCTGAATATTAACGCAGTGCCATCTGTCGCAGCGTTCCGCACAGCGGCCGCCGCCCGCCACCGCCCACGCCCACACCCACACCAACCCGTGCCCAAGCCCATACTCCCATATTGTCAATTAGTAAGCGAAACCCACGGGAAATAAATATTCACAATTTTTGTCACAGTTATAACACATTCCCGTGAATTAAGTAAATGAAACCAAAGTAAATTAATGAAAAATAGGTACTGAATAAATAAAATAATATTACATTAAGGCGAACATTAAAACAAAATTGTCAACATTTGCTTAAACATGGATGTTTAGTGCCTTTTACAAATTATGTAATAAATGAATTATTCATTAATCCCGTTTACAAAATCAAAAGTAAGGTGAATGCTGCGAAGTTTATTAACTTTGAATACCTCTTTTATAGATACAAAAGCATACTTACGTAGAAACATAGGTGATGCAAAACGTTTAAAAGCAAACATATTAAAGAAAAATTATATTAGTGGTACTAAATTAAAAAGCAAAAAGCTACTCCATTCATGCAATTAGCTGTAGGTACATAATAATAAATTTCTAATTCAACAATTAACGTAAACAAACTCACGAAAGTATGAATCGCATGATAATGATTTATCACCGACAATATGGCAGATAAAGAATATAATAAATACTCTCTCGTTTGATCACAAAATATTTCAAACAGGAAGTATTTGTCTATGGGAAATCATTTAAAAGTTTATTAAAATACCTAACTAATTCTTGCTAATTCGTTAACGGATCGTCTAGCTTGTTAGTGGGAGAACTAGATATCACGGGGAAGAATTGAGTGTCAAGCCGGGCTAGCAGGCTAGCGGCCTCTTTAACTAATCAGGCTCACCTTTCTCTTGTTTACGTCGCTTCCGTTTATTGCATATCTTCACTGCGCACACGGACAGTATGATGGCGACAATGAAAAACAGTATGCCACCAACTACACCCGCAGTGATCGCTTTGTGTTTCACTCGTGCCGGAACTGGGAACTTTACTTCCTCTGAACTCTCGTAGCTAGTTGCCGAGTTTGCCAACACTCTAAAGTAGTACGTCCTCCCGCCGACGAGATTTTTAACTGTGAAATATTAATTTACACTAGTTACGTCACGAGTAAAAGTTTATTTTCTAGTTGCAAAGTCGAAACGTCAAGGATCCAGCCGAATCTGCCTTGGAACGTGTCTACATTGCTAATGACATAAGCGCAAATAATATTAGCATATACAAAATATGTTAACGCATAGAACAGTTGAATCTTGTCTAACAAGTTTTTTTGATACACGCATTCATAAGCTTTTGTTGATTATGGGAACAGCTTATCATGATTTTTTTATTCTCTATACAATGTGAGGTCAATGAATTGGTACAAAATGTTGTGAATTCTTACGAAATTGTGTTTTTTGAAGTTGTAGCCAAGATTTAATATAAACGGATTTTAATAATAAATCTGACAATAGTGTGGTTCAGTGGTTAGAGTTCCTGACTACATTGTCCTAGTTTAGAGTGTCACAAGGTCTGACAAGAGCCAATATGCAAAAACACATTTTTTTGTCTTTTGTGAGCTCTCTGACATTGCATTCGACCTTATAGCGGTAGGTCGGCTACAGGTGGTAGGGCTTCTTTTGTGCCTGAGATTTTTGCCGCCAAGCAGCAATGCATTCATTGCTGTTTGCCGGTTTGAAGAATACGAGAGCCAGTATAATCACGGGCTGTAAAGCTTTACATTTTAATTATCGAACGTGGAAACGTATCTATAGTTTTTTTTTTGTTTTAAGTTGGTTGCGGATGTCCATGAGCTGCAATTCCCACAGATTACGGTACGTGGTAGAGCCATGCTGCAGCTATATTATTAGTATACTTGTAGCACGACTGGGTCGGCTCGACCGGGGAAGGACCACGCTCTCACAGAATACCAGCGTAAAATAGCAGCTCAACGCTGCTGTGTTTCGTATGTTTTTTTTGGAAAAAAGGCATTCCATCTTAGTCCTCACGGGTGACAACGTATCTGCATTTCGATTCTTTATTGAGGATGTCTATGGCTATGGGTCACAGCAACCAGTTACCATCAGGTGGACTGTGTGCTCGTTTGTCATCCTATACTATAAAAAAAACATTTCGCGTAAATATCTGTTATAAAGATTCGTCATCAGTATACTTATGGGGTAATCGTCACGGTTGTCATGGATAGATTATAGTGGAGAATAGCTCCTGTTATATGGTATTCTCATACCTTTATCAGTTGAGTTTTTTTTATAGAATGTGGGTAGCAACGGAGCACACAGTTCACCTGATGGTAAGTGGAAGCTGTGGCCCATAGATATCTACATTTATTCTCGATTAAGAATGAAAATGCAGATGCGTTGTTACCCTTGAGGACTAAGATGGAATGCCACGTTTCCAGTAGAAAGGGTCTCCGGTTCTCTACAATTACCATACGCAGGACGGCAGTGTTAAGCTGCTATTTTACGCTGATATTCTGTGAGAGCGTGGTCCTACCCCGGTCGAGCCGACTCATTCGTGCCACAATCACAAAATAGATGCAACGTAGCTCTACCACATTTATCTCATCTGTGCTCAAAATGACTCTCAGGCAATGGCCGAGACTGTATGGTTTGCAGGGTCATACACTTTCTAGAAGTAGAGTTGAAGTTAGTTGCTGAGCACGTCAAAAGGAAAAGACCACCAAAGTTTAAAAGGCTTAGGCCGGTTATTGATGTACTGATTTGAAGTAAAATATAATAAAATTATTACTAATTAAACATGCGCCCCGAAAGTAGGTCGCTACGTGAGCGCAAAATAAAGTTGAATGTACAACGATAGCTTGCCCGCACAGAGACTCTGAAATTAAAATTTTAGTACTAATTTTAAGTGAGACCAGGCACTTTATCATATAAATAAAACAAAATGTTACCCAGGTAGCTGGTCTCCTCCGGTCGTATCTGTCCTCGATTGAGCGTCTTCCACTGCGCGTCGGTGCGGTACTTGATGGTGTAGTACTGCACGAGCTGCGCGCGCTCCAGCGGCGCCTGCCACGTGATGAGGAACCCGTTGTGCACCTCCGTCACCGTCAGGTTGCGCGGCGGTCCCGGCTTCGGCCCTGTTCCACCCACAACTATTTAGTACCATTGCTAAATGCTATTCTGTAGCAGGATAGTGCTATAGCGTTACAATATGTGTACGGAAGCCAATGTTGTTTGTAATACAAGCAATCCAAGATAAATATTTTTCTGTTATTGTACTATTAAAATAATATATAAACCAATTTCAATTATCGGAATCATTTGAAATTTATGTAATAGTGAGGACACTTACAAATCATTTACTCACACCTGTCACCAAGAAGAGAAGGCAGAGACTATTATCCATTTTGCACGATCCTAACACATTCTTGCTTCATTCACATCAATTTCCTATCATCCACCGCATACATGCTTGTCGGTTCAGGGTACTTTTAACTTGGCCCATCTTTAATAGGTATATCGCCAATTTGGTCGATGGAACTACTGCCTTGGACGTCACTTGCTGACTCTACCATTCACTTATGCAGATACTATGTACTCATATTTGATGCTCTTTTAACATTTATTCTTTCTGCGTGTTCATACCACCAAACATTCTCTTCTTAACTCTAGTCGCAACATCTTCTGGCAAACTACACTTCCCTTATCACAGATAATCTCACACTATAATATTAGGAGTCAGCCCTAACATACCTTTTCGTAATTACCGCATTTCTACTGTTTAATTTCACTCACAAGCTTTTGTCACATCCAGTTTTTACTATCATAAATTAAGGTAGGGAATAACAAAGCTTTGTGAACAGGAATCCATGTGAAAGCTTATTCTGTTGTTTAAAAAATAGCTAAATCCGTTAACTAACAAAAATCTTCAAGTATAAAATAAAAAAAAAAATTGGCGCATATACTCCGCAAAACACAAGGTCGACCAACTCAATCGTGCATTTGTTTCGTTCTATTTCGCCAATCCCTGAATGCTGGCTGGCAATTAGCCACAATCATACCGGTAAGACGGGGCGGTACTTAAAGTAAAGACATAAGAACCACGCTCTTATTCGCATTACTGCTGTAATTCTAAGAAACGAGGCATTTCATCTTATTTCTCAAGAGTGACAACGCATCTGCGTTTTGATTGTTAATCGAGGATATGTGTGGATGTTTATGGGTCACAGCATCAACCTTGTCAACAGGTGGATTGTGTGCTCGTTTGTTACCCTTATTCTTTAAAAAAATACAACCTAGATACGTCCCACAGCTATACATAGGAATTTTCTCACTCCAGAGACGGATTTAGATTTCACATGTTTTTGAAATGATTTCTGTTTAATTTCTCAAACATACAGGTGTACATACGATGTTTTCATTTACCCACGAGCACATAAGTAGTAAAAGTTACAGCCTACATTCGTCCCACTACATAGATACTAGTCTCCTTTCTTGTCTCAGAGGACGTCTAAGCATCGCAAAAAATTCGCTAAGCTGCAATTTATTAGAGCAATTTAATACACCAAGCTGGTCTAGTGTGTGTTGGCTGGCGGGTTTCACATGTTCTAGAAATATTTTATTTTTCAGACATGAAGGGTTATTTATGTTGTTTTCCCTTAACGTCAAGCATGTGACGAATCAGCAATTAAGGATAATGGTGTTGACCGCAGTGATCAAACTCAGTTTGCTCGTCTAATAGATATATATATATTTAGGCGAGCTATTATACCTTATGCTACCACAGCTCGTTCGGTAGAAGGAATTCGATTGATTATTCGACACTAAGGAATAGCGAATTGAAATTTAATAATTTTTACCTAAATATATAGCTTAGTTAATCTAATGTCTTAACTTAAAAAAGCTGTATAGAACATTCGTAATTATGCGCTATGAAAATTATAATAAATTTCAACAAAAGTCCGAGAAAATTGCGAAAAAAACAATTAAAAATATAAACTACTAAAGTTGAGTGTGATAGAGTTAATAAGGATTAAAGCTACAATAGACAATACCTTATAGAAAGCCTGTACAAGTGGCTTACTTTATGATAGGGTAAATTACAAGAGTATGAATGTCGATATTAATTTTTACTTACAAAAAAGTATTAAAAACAATGGCTAATTATGAAACTACATTTCATTCGTTGGGAATATAACCACGTGCACATCTACAATTACAAAGCTTAATGAAAAAGTAAAAATAGAGTAATGAGTGAATAAAAATTGGTTATTAACGTGCTAAGTATGTATGTACCAGAGCCTTCGGGTGCGTTCTGAAATATCTTTTCGTCTACCGGCCCCGGCAGAGTTGGAGTAACCTTCATTCTGGCGCCTACATCTACAAAGATCAATTAATTGTTAGTTCAGTCCCAGTTAATACCAATAATTACATTCTTCCACCAATATTAGCTCAAGAAAAGCCCTGCTGGCGTATATACAGTTATGATAAAACTCGCATGCAAACGTAGATTTTTATTAACACGATAATCGTTATCTTAATATAATATGGGTATGAAAATAAAAATAAAAGTAAAATGAGATATTTAACTTCGTATGGTATAAAAGAGATTTTATTTAAATATTTATTTCTATAACTTGTGATCTTAAATTATTTAAACTTGTTTCGGCAAATTGTTGCCAAAAATGGGCCACAAGAAGATATTATTCAGAAATTGCAGAAATAATTAAGTTTAAATAAAAGTTTGTACTATTATACTAGGTAGTAACATCACATTGTGACTGTCCTTAAACAATACTCACAGCGGTTTACTGTGAGTTTTGTTTAATCTTGTGTCAGAAATATTTTTTATAAAGAAAAAAGCTCTCATTCAGATAAAAATGCATATATTAATATTATTAAATAATATTCGTATTAATATAATATAAAACTTACATATTTTTATTTTAGCTAAGTACTAAATGCCACACATTTACTGTTTTAATCAATGTGTAGTTAGTTTCTTTCTTTATAAACTTTAGATACCTATGTAACTAAATTTTAATTGCATTAAATATTAACACGTTAATGTGTTTGGGCCTTGAGTGTCTATGAATCATTATATATATTTAATAACCCTTCTGTTGATATGTTTTCATTAACTTTAGCTGTATTAAGTATATGACGCTATTATCGTGATATTGTAAGTTATTGCAAATATTGTAAGTAATTTGGTTAAAAGCTTTTTTATGGGACGCCGGGTTATGTATATAGAGTAGCAGGCGATACCAATAAAACAATACTGTTATGTTACCACAAAATCGATAATAGCCAAATATTTCACACAAACTAAAACCCAATTAGTTTAAACGTAAATGTTAGTATTCAATATAAACTTCGGTATTAATCGATATTTATAAAAGTTGACTTACCTAATGTTCTTATAGTTATAGCTTTGCTCATCATTCCCTCACCGATCGTATTTTTACTGTTAACTTGAAACTCGTACGTAGTGCCCGGTTGGAGACGATTTATAGTAACCTGGGAACAAAAGGCCGTATACGAAAATATGTTCAAAATTATGTGTCTCACTTTCATGAAAATATTATTTTGTAGGTTTAGGAGGTTAGGAGGTGATGTATCAAAATGAAACTATAATCCGTGGAAGCTCAAGGTCGCTCAGCGAGCTATGGAGAGGGCTATGCTCGGAGTTTCTCTGCGTGATAGACTTAGAAATGAGGATATCTGCAGTAGAACCAGAGTAACCGACAGCCCAACGGATGATCAGCAAGCTGAAGTTGCAATGGGCCGGCCATATAGCTCAAAGAAACGAAAACCGATAGGGATAAAGGTTCTCTAGTGGCAATCTCGTACCTGTAAGCGAAGTGGAGGGTGATCCCTCACTAGATGGAGTGACGATCTAGCAAGAGTTGCAGGAAGTCGATGGATGTAGATGTTTCAGGTTCTTTCACCAGTATAAAATTTTGCTCATTATTCAAATCATACAATCTTGATAATTTATTCTTTGAAGCTGCACGTAATGCAGGGTGTAGTGCAACTTGTATTGATATTTTTACTGATGTTGTACCAGGACTTCAATATAAATTTTTAAGAATAACTCAAAAATTATTGGTCAGACCTTGATCATATGGGACCACATGAGAAGCACCAGCTTTCAAATAAAAACAGAATCATCGAAATCGGTTCACCCAGAAAAAAGTTATGAGGTAACATAACATAAAAAAGGAGACATACAGTCGAATTGATAATATCGTATCCTTTTTGAAGTCGGTAGAATAATAAGTTCAGATCACTGTGGACAACTCGTTTCATTACCATATATATGCACAAAAAACAGGAAATTGAGAAAATTGTGTTTGTTCCGATTAATGCAAAACGCCTGGAGAGATTTAGAAGTAATATGGTAAAAAACCTTCCATCACTTTATTACATGAATATTTCAGACTATTTATATGGAGTATTATTTACCTTTATAAGCAATGAATTTAATAAAACATTTACTTCTAAAACATTCTCCAGTAACAATCGAAAGGCATTTAATGAGTAGGCGACAGTAGGAATTCATAAGAGCAGACGAAGATTATAAATAGATAATTCTTTATTGTACACCAAATCAATACATAAACGAAAGGAAAAAAGGTGACACAATGGGCAGCCTTATCGTTGAAAGCGATTTCTTCCAGACAACCTGACTCCACAGACTAGACTAGACTCCACAGAATTAATAATTCATTTATGGAGCGATGTATATGCTTCTACAACAAAATCCAAGAAAATGTACCATATTTGTCAATAGACAAGTTTAAATGTTCTATTAAAGTAAAAATGTACAAAAAGTGTTCTTATAATATCAAAGAATACATAAATGAAAAAAAACCCGTGGGAATGAGGTGATCGCCACCGTGCTGGTTCTATTAAAACTTATTTTATTATAAAGTGAAATATGTTTAAAAAAAGTTCCGCTGGGTTTCTTGCTGGTTCTTCTCAGGACAGAGGTAATTTCCGTACCAGTGTTAAATATACGTGGTAGAGCCATGCTGCAGCTATATTAGTAGTATAGTTGTAGCACGAATGGGTCGGCTCGACCGGGGAAGGACCACGCTCTCACAGAATACCAGCGTAAAATAGCAGCTTAACACTGCTGTGTTTTGTATGGTGAGTGTAGAGAACCGGAGACCCTTTTTACTGGAAAAGAGGCATTCCATCTTAGTCCTGAGTCCTGACGGGTGACAACGCATCTGCATTTTGATTCGTAATCGAGGATAGATGCAGATGTCTATGGGCCACAGCAACCATTTACCATCAGGTGGACTGTGTGCTCGTTTGTCACCCTTATCCTATAAAAAAAGGGTATTAAATTAATATTGAATGTAAACCTCGCAGTACGTAGTAAGGTGGTTGGAAATAAAATGCGGATGATAATTTAATGCGACTCTACCAACCAATGTCAATAATTTCAGAAATGATTTTGTTTGGATATATGTTAAGTAGAAGAACTTTAATTCTGGCAAAGAGTTTGTTAGAGTCTTGAAAAGGACTCGTATGACTTACGGAAGTAGCACCGGAGGGCGTGACGGGGACCTTGGTCCAATCAGAGAAGCCAGCCTCGCGGTACCAGATGGTGTAGTCCTGCTTGTAGTCGGGCCCACCCGCGTAGCCCGGCTGCCAGCGCAGCGTCACCTGGAACTCCGTCGCCGTGCCCGACACGTTGTACGGCGCGTGCGGCTGTGTGCCCTCGATCACCAGCTGTGTGTCTGCCACTATTGTTGCCACCTGAGTGAACCGCACCGTTTCATTTTTACCAACAATCTGATAAGACATAGTTGCGCAAACAGGAAACAGGATTCAACCCACAAAAAGAAGTTATAATCGGTATTAAACGATAATGGCTTGTTTCGTTATGTGCTTCTTATTAACTGCGACTTGACTATTTACTATATAAAAGTTTCTATAGATCGTAGGTCTGTTTTGGCATCTATGAGCTCATTTGTGACTAGAGTGAGGGTTGAATTCTTCTTGTTTTATTTTACGTTTTTATAGCAAGTGGTAAAATTAAAAATTTTGTACAATCGACTTCAATATAAATAAAATGATAACATCATCAATGTAGTTGAAGTCAAGATAACTCAAAAACTACTGGTCTGATCTTGATTTAATTATATATGGGACCACATGAGAAGCACCAGCTTTCAAATAAAAAAAATAATCATCAAACTCGGTTTACCTAGAAAAAAGTTCTGAGGTAACACACATACAAAATAAAGTTGAATTGAGTATCCCCTCCTTTTTTTGAAGTAAGTTAAAAAATTTACAGTTGATTACAATCGACAGTCGGTACACATGTAAGTAAAAATTAACCATTGCAAAGTATGGAAACTCTGCTATGGTTAATAATTAGATTGAAAAATAAACAGGTAGAGTCGAATTTGAAAGTATTTCGCTTCTTGCGTAGATTTTCCTTTGACGTTAATACGTCTTTTAGTTTGCTTCTATAGTGGGAGGCAATTCCTGTGGGATGTTGTGGGATGATAACAAAATCTGGGGATACAGTAAAGTGTTGCTGCTACATATCTACCATCTACATTCAGAATTCAATTACACCAGTAGATAGCTGAAGTTTCGTTGAGTGACGACAGTGAAGCATCGCGCGCGGCGGAGGGAGGAGCGGCGCCATTTTGAGGCCGTTTTCGTTATGTACGTACACATATTCTCGTAAAACACACAACCATGCCCACGACACAGTCATACTCCGATTTTGTTTCTTTGTGGGGTGGGGTCATGTTGCGGGAGCTGCGAGGCCTTGGCACGTACCTCGTTGGAGGCGACGCACTGGTAGATGCCGAAGTCCTGGCGGCGCAGCGTGTCGATGGTGATGTTGCCGCCGAGCGCGCGCACGCGGTTCTTCTGCAGCGGCAGGCCGTCGCGCCGCCGCCACGCCACGCTCGGCCGCTGCGTGCCCTCCGCCTCCTGCGCCTCGCAGTGCATCTCCACCGACTCGCCCACCTGCCGCCGCATACCACACGACTTCATTCAACGAGACCTAATATTTTTTGACGTGGTAGAGCCACGCTACAGCTGTATTATCGTTGTAGCACGAATGGGTCGACTCGGTCGGAAGGACTACTCTCCCATAGTATACCACTTAACGCTGCTGTGTTTCGTTTGGTGAGTATAGAGAACCGGACACACTTTTTACTGGAAACGAGGCAATCCATCTTAGTCCTCAGGGGTGACAACGCGTCTGCTTTTTGATTCTTAATCGAGAATGCAATGTCTATGGATGGGCCACAGCATCCAATTATCATTAGGTGTCTATAAAAAATCCCGCTCATCAGATGTCGTTAGTGGGGTACTGAGGTCAAGTTATTTATTACATAGTGTGTCACCGTAAGTAAAGGTTGCGTTCGATAAAAGTTTTTCGGTATCTTGTGTATGTACCTATGTACACAAAACAATGCCTGAGTAGTTAATCTTTATTATTTTGTACATTTTTAACTGTCTCTTTAATTATTTTAATTTTAAGAATGTGTGTAAATTTTTAATCAATTTTATGTAATTAATAATTAATTATATTATATTTTCCTAGCAATTGATGTTCCCTCCATGAAATTTGTTAAATATTTCACGTCATTCCTGAGTGGTGGCAAAAAAGTGAATGCCCTTATTATCGAAGCCCGAGCAGGTCAACATTAAAACTTTTTTATCTTCTTTTACACAATAAGGTAACAAACGAGCACACAGTCCACCTTACACAACATTTTTCCTCGATTAAAAATCAAACTAGAGATGCGTTGTCACCCCTGAGGACTCAGATGGAATTATTTTCAGTAAAAAGGATCCCCAGTTCCCTACAGTCACCATGCGAAACGCAGCTGCATTAAGCTGCTACTTTATTATGGTATACTGTGAGAGAGTAGTACTTGCTCGGTCAAACCGACCCATTCGTGATACGTACGTTTAAAATTTAATTTTAGTTTAAGTTTTTTATTCAATTTAGGCTGGTTTAACACAAAAAGTAAACTTACCTTCCTTTGATACAAAGGCTCTGGCTCAACTGTGAACACCGGAGGTTTACGGACCAACACTTCCATCGGACCTAAACATAATTTGCAATATTATATACAACTACCAATAGTGAAATATTTTAGTTAGGTTTAAGATAGGCAGCATATTTAAGAATTTATTACGAACACACAGCAGAAAACAATAATGAGTTGAACATTTCATTCGGTAAATATAATTTAACTTTCAAATCAAACTTGGTCTCGGGATTTGTTAGTTTTTGTGACATTATTTGATTCGTTCACAGTAGTTCAAAGTCCAATGCTAAACATAGGCCTCGCCCATAGATTGCCACATAGGAGTAGATATTCGCTATAGTTATAGTTTTTTTTTAAATTGTTTTTAGCTATAGTTCCGAATACAATCTGGGCGTCTTCAAGGCAAGAGTGAATAGGCCTTTGTTACAAAAAGACAGTGCGATTTACCATCTAAGGCTGCATCACCACTTACCACCAGGTGGGATTGTGATCAAGCACTGGCTTATAATAAGTAAAAAAAAAATGTTGTCATGGCTTAAAGGCGGGTTGGAAACTGCAGTTTTTTTTATTACTGCTCTCTTTTATTTTCCTCTGTCGCCTCTTACGGCGGGATGATGTGCGGTAGTTGACTCTCCTACGTCGCGAACGAACGGCCGCGTAATTATTTTTATTATTTTTTTTTTTACACGGCGAACGTAAGCAGCGGAGTTACTTAATAAAAAATAATATTGATTTCAAACCTAGGTATATAAAAGTCAAATAACACTGCGTTTACCTGAAGATCCTTGCGTTCCTTGTGCGTTATACGGCGTACATGTGTACCGGCCTTGGTGGTTCTGATTGACTCTAGTGAACAGCAGCGAGCCGTTGTTCATGATGACTATGTCCTTGGTCTGGTAGGGCTCCAGTAGACGTTTGTCCTTCGTCCAAGTAACGTATTGCAGTGGGGGGTTGGCTTTTATGTAGCACTGTACAACACCTGCGAGTCGGAATGGTAGGTATTGCACCGTTGGTGTGAATGTCACCTTGGCTGGGTCTGGAAAACATCATAGAGAGTGAGACAATGTTTGCATTATTATGGAAGTTAGGGTTGCCAACAAGCACAAAGACTACATGCTGGTAAATTGATGCTAGACATCTATGTTTCTTCTCAATTAAGAATCAGAATGCATTTGTGTTGTCAACCCCGGAGGACGGTTGTCGTCTCTCACCATACGAAATACATAAATTTCATGCTACTATTTTATACCAGTATATTGTGGGAACGTGGTCCTTCCTCAGTTGCAATACAGGCAGCAGCCATAATACGCTGCAGTATGTCTCTATGTATAGGAAGACTCCGAGACGTAATCAAGTGATGACAGCGTGGTCATCGTCACGTCGTGACGTCACGTTAGAACAAAATCGTCCATAATTGTTATGTTAAGTAATAAAATATTAACTAATTTGGAAATTCAGCATAAAATAAAGGTTCAAGTTATTATGTAACACTCTAATTTAAATTTCTTCATGGTTTAAATATTAGATTATTAAGATTTATTCTCGTTCAGTTCTTTCTTCTCAAATAAATAGCTGTTTCACAATTTGGCAGCACTTTAGTAACATATCGTAAAAATGTTTGTATTTATTGGCATATATATTGTGTAATAGATTACCTGAAATAAAAAGTTAAGTACCTTAAATTAGGTAAGGCTTGGTATCAAAACATCTAGAAATAAAAAGAACTCACATTCAACATTGAGATATGCGGAAGCACTCTGCGGATCCCCAATGCCGTTGGAGACCTCGCACAGGTACTGTCCGGAGTCGTCGGCAGCGACTGGGTTGATGAGCAGCGCGCCATCGCGGCGGATGGTGACGCGCGTCTCCAGCGCCGCCACCTCCGCCACCGGCGCGCCCTCGCGGAACCACTTCACCGTCACGTTCCCGGGGAGGGCCTTCGCCTCGCACGAGAACTGCACCTTCTCGCCCTCCAGCTTCGTTTGGTTCGACGGCGGCATCTGCCACGGATGCCACATCGTTAGCATATACAGGGCCAGTGAAATACTAGCTAGTTGTTTTTTGTGGTTTGCCAAGGTCAAAGCTTTAAAACAATTATTCTTTTAAAAGTTCCTCTACCATAAACTTAATAACTTTGCTCTGTGCATCTGCCCTGTGCTAACAGTAATAAGATTCATTGCTTGTTAATTGTGTACTCTCAAGCTATGCTGTGTTTAAACCCTATTAATTATATATAACTATTTAATTTTGGATCGAATTACAAAAATTTAAGAAGTACCTATGTACTGTATGTACATACAAAGAATATATCTTTCGGTATCGTTATCACGTTTAAGAAAAGTGTATATTATTAAAAATGTACCTAAACAATATGTTTTACGTCCTTTATACGTGAGCAGATTTTTTCATATCAAGTAAAATATTAATGAATAAGTCTTTATAAGATTTCATTAAATCATGTTAAGCTTAATTTTGAATATGTTAAGCTACAAATTACAAAACCATTATGCGAGTATAGGGAAATATTAAACAACCTTTTCCCAGAAAGCTGGCAACCTCACCTGCACGCTTCTCTCTAGCGACCGACTAATAAAGGCGGAATATCCATCAAAAACATTGTACCCAAATTTTACTGACTGTGGACACGGGGTAGAATTACCGGTGGAGTATCAGCGATGTTGGCTTAGTTTTAATGTTAGACGCTTAGTTTCATTATATTGTGTAATTATGTAGGCTGTTGAGTACGCTTCTTAATCTTATACTCATGTAACTAATAAGCAGAAAAAAATAATTGAAAAAAAAACATACAGTCGAATTGAGTACCGTCTCCATTTTGGAAGTCGGCAGATAACCCTGATAATGGCACATTTCACAAGTAAATTCTCAAGACGTCGTCCATATTATGACGCCTTTATTTTTGGTTAAATTTTATGTTATATACTGTTTATAATTAAAAATTAAAAATTTTGTACAGCCGACTTCAATATAAGTTATTAAGAATAACTGAAGAACTATTGGTCTGGTAGGTGGCGTTGTTGTCGAGATCAAGAAATCAACCGTGTGAAGCCGGGGCGAATCGCTAGTATTGAATAAAAAAATCATCCATCCATCCATCAATTAAAGCCTATAAAAGTCCACTGCTGAACATAGGCCTCCCCAAATATTGCCTTATAGGGGAGAGGTTGCCATAGTTGACTTGCTTGGCGAGCGGGTTGTCAATCGCAGTTTTTTTATTATTTTAGAGTTGTTATCAGGAAAATACTGCCGCCCATTACCTGTTTCAATTTTCCTCTACCGCCTCTTATGACCCACGGTATGAATATCCAGTACAACACGTTGCCAAGCGTGACGATAAAAGCAAGTCATCCCCACAACGAGAGACGCTAATTTGGATTCAAAGACATCTACGAACTGTTATAGAAGAAGAATTTCATGTAAGACTAGCTTTTCCCCGCGACATCGCCCGCGTGTTATTTGGGGTTTTAATTTTTTTGCGCGGCACCCTTATTCTTTTTTTTAGAATAAAAGTAGCCTAAGTTACTCCCTGTGACTTGAGATATCTGCCAGTGAAAATCCCGTCAAAATTGGTCCAGCCGTTTCGGAGATTAGCCGGAACAAACAGACAGACAGACGGAAAGACAGACAGACAGACAAAAACTTTAAAAATTGTATTTTTGTTATTAGTACCGTATTTACTTTCATATTCATTTAGTAAAAAGTTGTAATTTTGACATTACAAACAGTCAGTTCAATTTTGTTTATTTGTATAGATATGTCAATCCTATTAATTTTGAAGACGTGTGACATAATAAACATGATGTAAGTATTTAAGTTCACAAACATCACTGAGCCGTGCTTACATTTCGCTATATACTCGTGAAAACCAATTCGTTATCCAAATAATAATTTTAATTTGTTCGTTTAACGGTAGCAGATAAATGGCCTTTTCTCTTAATTATAATCGCTCCAAATGCGATGAGCCTAATTACTTACGCCCGTGGGCATGAGGTGCTATTAATTTTATCTGGGATATTTGTACCTTTTATTACAAAAGAAAAATGGAAGCTAACTAAAGTTATTCTAATTTACACAAAAGGTCTTGAATTGATGTGGAATAATAAACCTATAATGAGAAATATAAATAATAAAGCTATAATTAATAAAAATAGAAAAAAAAACAATTTAAAATCTCAAAAGGTTCGGAGGGGTGATGAATAAATAGTTATTTTTTGCTTGAGAAACTTATGTTCATCTAGAACTTACTGAACTAATCTTTTACTGTAATCGGTGTGTTCGATGTCTTTTTTTATAGAATATGGTGACAAACGAGCACACAGTCCACCTGATGGTAAGTGATTGCTGTGGCCTATAGACATCTACATCTATCCTCGTTTGCTAATCAAAATGCAGTTACGTCGTCACCCGTGAGGACTAAGATGGAATGCCTCCTTTCCAGTAAAAAAGGTCTCCGGTTCTCTACACTCACCATACGAAACACAGCAGTATTAGGCTGCTATTTTACGTTGGTATTCTGTGAGAGCGTGGTCCTTCCCCGGTCGAGCCCACCCATTCGTGCTACAACTATACCAGCAGCATGGCTCTTCCACGTATAAAGTACGTTGTAAGTTATTAGAATATAGGTATTCATACTTAAATTGTAATGGTATTTTTGAAGCAAAGATTGTAATTATTATAATAATATTCAAGTAACTCACAGTTATGACAGCACCGCCCGCAATGATGACTCTTGCTGTATGCGAGACCTGGCCTTCGCCATTCCTCGCTATACACGTGTAATCTCCAATGTCCTCGTGTCTGATGTTACTGATGCGCAGCTCGGTGCCGTCGTTGAAGATCCCAACTGTGCCAGACGGCTCCACGGGGTTGGCGTCTTTGTACCATAGGATCTCGGGCGTCGGGGTGCCCTCTGCTTGACAGTTGAGGATGATTGCATCTCCTGCAATTCATGTAATCCCGATCATTTAAGTCACGATAAAAGGTTATATTGCGAGTTTTTGCTTGAAACTATTGTTGCTTGATGGAGATGAATATTAATTGTACTTTACTTGGCCATGTCGAGAGAATGAATGAAGAACGATTGACGAATGAAAGTGTTGGAAGGGGTAGACCTAGACGGATGTTTCTAGACCAAATCAGGGACTTCTTGAAAAAACGCCAGGTCAAGAGTACCCTCAACCGAAGAGCATGTATGAAGGGAATAATGAAAGTGGACGAAGCGAAACAAGTATGTAAGCATCGTAGCAAGTGGAAAGAAATAGTCTCAGCCTACCCCTACCCCTACGGGAAAGAGGCGTGATTATATGTATATGTATTTACTTAGTAAAAACACTATGAGAAATGCAAAACCTAAAAGATCTTAGGGCATCAGATAGATGGTCGTATCGTCATTAGAAAATACACAAATTTAATTTTTATGTAAAAATGTTATATTATTTCTTGTTCTATAATTCTATATTGTACAATATATAAATATATCGGTTGATTATGATTTTTTGTAACATACCTATATGCTCATAGGTACATATTTTCCGTTTTATGCGCGACCTATGAGGAGATTACAGTTGTTGGCATGCCAAGAGCTTACGTAATTAAAATAAGAAATCATATATATGTAAATATTTACCTAAATTAACGTATATAATGTCTTCCGGTGTGATGGAGAAGCGAGGCGGCGCGTGCACGTCCAGGTGGAACCACGTGCCGTTCTTGTGCTGATTCGGGGAACGGTTGAGGAACACCACCTTACACTCGTACCAACCCTTTACCGGATAAATTAATATTTTTTAATATCAGTATTTTTTTTCTGCATAAATCTTCATTTTTAGAAGATCTTTTTTTTTACTGGCGACTAAATTATAATCCAGATGTAGTTTTTAAGTAAGTTATATAGTATAACAAGAAAAGGTTATATATAGTAAAGTTACAGCCTATATGCGTCACACTGCTGGCACAAGCCTCTCATTTCTGACAGGGTTTTAGGGCAAGGAACTGTCCGCCGCGCTGTCTGTTTTCAAAATATTTTTTTTATTTCATTTCGCAGATACAAAGGTTTTGTCACGGTATAGTATCAGCAATTAAAATTATAACAATTAACAGTTCATGGTGCCACCGAGGATAAAACTCGGGTTGCTCGCTTACTATTTACAGCGAGCGCTTAGCCCCTGACCCCTGAGCTACCACAGCTCTTTTTACGATTATTTTATAATAGTTTACATTTAGAACAAAACAAATTTACAAAAACCAAAAAAAGTTAAAAATTCCTGTGAAATTGTCATGAACCATTCCTAGTTTGAAGCACACATTTAAAACGGCAATAGGTGTGAAGGTAGTAAGTAGAAGTAAGTAATATTTTTAAAGTAGTAGTAAGTAATAATTCATAATTTTGTATTGATTTGAATTGAATTGATCTGAAAAAAAAAATATAGCTCTATGACTTCGTAATATTTTACTTACAAATACACGGAGAAACGACAGATAATACGAGTGTGTTACAAAATGTAGTCAAGATAAAAAGTGCATACGAATGAAATGGGAAAATGTGTCCAGAGAATAAAAGCAAACAATAGAAGTACGAATTACCGTTTATTTGCTTCCCTGTTTGTTTTGTTTGACGCGATTTTTTTGTAAGAACGTTGGCAATCGTTGCCGTTACGAACACAGGTAGGCCTCCCGCATAGATTGCCTCCATAGAGGTAAAGTTTGCCATAATTGCCACACTTTGATAGAGGGATGGCAACCGCAATTTTTTATTTTCAATCAACTTCAAAAAAAGGAGGAACTTATCAATTCGACTGTATTTTTTTGTGTGTGTTACCTCTAGAACTTTTTTCTAGGTGAACCGATTTTGATGATTCTATTTTTATTTGAAAGCTGGTGCTTCTCATGTAGTCACATATAAATTTGATGAACAAGATCTAACTAGTAGTTTTTGAATTATCTAATTTATTAATGCGCATTTAATTGATTTCGACTACATTGATGATGTTCTCACTTTATTTATATTGAAGTAGGTTGTATAAATTTTACCTCTTGTTTAGCTGTTATTAAGAAGGCGCTGCTGCCGACCTCCTAGTTTGTTTCCCTCTGTCGCCTCTTACGGCACCCGCGGGACGATACGATAGTGGATATTCTTACACCGCCACTACACGGTTAACGTTGGCAACATTTTGTACCTATTTACACGCAGCGTGGCTCTACCACGCAAACCACTTCAACGGGAACTATCCTATAGGTTTTGATAGCTACAGCTTGGCTCTACCACGTAAACCACGTCAGCGGGAAGGTTTTGATAAGTGAGTCTGCGAGTATCAAAATATGTCACACAAGTGGTCGTATCTTCTAAATTGACTCAGATTGTGACTAAGCTCGAATTTTTAACCCCTCCAAGGGACCATAAACCTTAGTATTCGATTTTGATTTCATCCTTTCACGCTTACACACACACGGACGGGCAGATAGACAACAAAGTCATCTTATTAGGGTTCCGCCCTTACTTTTGAAGCTATGGGATCCTAAAAAAGACTAGAAAGGCGAAAATGTCGTTTAAAACCGCTTTTTCTTTTGAACTATTAAACTAAAAACTCCATACACAGGTCAGATGCAAGGCACCAGATAGACAGATTTATACAAAATACCAGCGTAGTTAACTAAATACTTACCGTCTTATAAAAAAATTTATAAATTAGTTAAATAGTGTTTTGTCTTATTCTGACATTTGCGAGACACTTGTTGCTAGAAAGTGACAAAACACTATTTAACTAATTTATAAAAATGTTTATGAGTAAGGGAGTTAGTGACTAAAATAAGATCGGGCCAATAATTGCTGTTTGCTGGTATCGAGTCATTCTATACTTATGTATTTTCAGGGTTGATTACAGGTTCCTATAGATCAATGTAACTACCACTATGACATGGGCTGTGTAGTGCGTAGTTATTTGTTATTTTATTCGCATAAAAATGAAAGGATTTATTACCTGATCTGTTTCCCGTATATTGGTGAGATTGAGACTGGCAGCGCCATAAGGGGAGTCTGGTGCGACGCGCGACACCCTTCCCTCGTATCCCTCGCCGCTGTGGGTGGGGTAACTCTCGTACCAGATGTAGATCGGGATGTCCTGCCCCTACACATACATACACGATATTAACATTAAAACTATTACTGGTGCGAACTTTCTCCTGCGCTTGCATTCAAATGCAATTTAAGATTACATCAACAATACCTAAATACTTGAACAATGTTCGGTTTTGTCCTCGTGAAATTATCCATTTTCCCGTCGTGTAAGGTTAATATGGAAGGTAATAAAACAAACATAAAGACATTCGCCAAATTTTGTTTTTTAACAATTAAAAAAAAGTTACAGTTTAATTTTTATCAGGTTCTCATTGATTCTTGCCTTGAAACAAAATCTTGCGAAGTGCTACATTCAACATAATAATGTTTACAAAATCATGCATGGGGAAGTGCCTAAATACGTTACCTATCTACTTTTTCAAAGATACATTTGTTTACAGTAGATAAATAGTTAATACATTACAAAAGATTGGATATTATATACAGTTTGTACATTACGAACAAATCCACAGAAGTAAGAGACTAAAAGCTGATTGAGGTGCAGAGATCGCTATCTACGAAACAAAGTACGCGTGAAATAATACATTAAGCATGCAGTACGCAATATGAAATAACAGATATGAGGCTACAACTGCAGACAGCGTGGGAGCAACCCCACAGCCACAGGAAGAGAGAAACAGACAGAACCGCCGCCAGTGCGCGAGGGAGTGCGAGTGCCCCGTGTCAGCCTTGAAGCAACGTGCTCCCGATGCTAACTCGGATAAAAACTTGGTGCACCCAAAATGAAAAAAGGATTATTTTGCAAAATTAAACAAATAAATCTTATCGTAAATGTAAAGTGATCGTGTATGTGTAAGTATGTTCGTTATATCTAACGGGGGTCTGCTGCTCTCTCAGACACGTTTTGTAGGCCTTTGTCACTGTGGTGTATGTCGAGCGGTGGGACGACGGGCGCGGTAGGTACATTAGGCGGTATGCTGAAGAGGCAAAGGTACATAAATGCGTGCGAGGGCGCTCGCGGGGCGAGGGCGGGGCGAGCCCCCGGCCCGCGGCGCTTCTTTACCACTAGCACGGGACAATAGGTGCCGCTACCGACACGGGCAACCCGAGTTAGGTATACTTTACAGTCTTCGGGCGCGTCGCGGGGACGAGCCGTCCTCTACTGAACAGAAATACACACACGGTAGATGAGCAGCGTTGTATTGTAAGAGTGGAGTGTGGACCATCGTACCGTTTCGCCTACCTTCTTCTCCCACTGCAACACGTACGGCACAGGGATGTCTTCGGGGAAGTCCACCTGGCAGTTGAACACGACACTCTCGCCGAGTATCGCCGTGATATGCACGGCATCTTGGTGATCTTGGTGGCAGGTTACTGAAAAAAGCTTTTGTTGAATTTTTCCGTCAACATCACTTCATTTACTTGTTATACGAATCGTATAGTTCGATACCGTTAGACATGTTAGGCGACCGATGAGACTTATAAACGTATTTAGACCTTTAACGAGGAAATAACTAGGCCGGCCATCTTATCACCAGCGGCGATGACAATTCGCGGATACAGTTTCTTTAGAAACCGCACGTGGATTTTACGGACCGGTAGTCTCTACAGAAAATGGCAGGAATGTGTTATACATTTATTACAATACATATCCGTGCCATTATCAATCGTGCATAATTGATACCGGTTACTTGTCTTCGCATATAATTTTCAACGCAAGCATTTTAAATTATTCCCAAGAAACCACAGACTCTCATGCTGTCACTTCCACGACTACAATTCTATTTTCACGAGACCTTTTTAACCAAGCAAAAAACTTTTATAGATACTCGTACGAGAGCTTTCCTAACGTCATTCAACATTCTTCTTAAAGTTACAGCCTACATACGTTCCAATGCGTGTTGGCGAACTTCACATGTCTTCGAAATATTTTTTTTATTTCTCAGTTTTCCTTCGCCGCTGAGCACGTGATAAATCATCACTTAAAATTGCAATTAACAATTTCATTGGTGCCGGAGAGGATCGAAACTGGGTTGGTCGCGTACTGTGAAATTTATAGCGAGCGCTACGATCTGAGCTACCACGGCTCTTGAGCTACACGGCTCTTGAGCTACCACGTCTCTTTTTCCTTACGCGATCGATTTTAATTAATTTAGAATTTGCAGAAAATTGCACATAATTTTTAACCGAATTCAAAATGGAGCAGGTTCTCAATTCTAATGTATGTTTTTTTTGTATGTATGTTACGCGATGTCATCGCAGATTGTGAAGTAATTTTAATGATTCCTTTTGTTATTAAATAGGTTATACTTTAAGGGTGGTGGACCATAATATAATGTAAAGCAAATAAATAACTTCTTTTTTAGTAATTTCAAGTCGGTTTTTACTTTTTGTTTTAAGTTATAATTATTAATGTTAAATATATTCTCAACCAGTCAACTTTAGGGCAATGATGAAACGTCGAGGTCGGTGACATGAAACAAAACAAAGCAGGCAAATAATGAAAAAATAATGATCTTTTTACACTGCGATGTAAATAAAAGGAAATGTTGAAAATATTTTTTCACATTCACTCAGGTGCCTTATAATACTTAAAGAGGGTTACTTTAATATTCTTATCGCATTTAAGTTGTAACACAGTCTCTCTGAACACCCGTATAATGGCTACCGTTTTATGCAAAACTAAATCGTCTCCAAGGATAAAGATACAAGCTGTTATAATTGCAAGTACAAAATGAATACAGTGCTCATTTATTTTGTTATCTATCTCATTCGTTATAGTGGCGGCTTTAATGACCACTTCAGTAGGCATTTGAATTGAGATAAAAAGCACCAGGAAAACCAACGCGTTACTAATTGCGGAGTGAATTTCTTTTCAGTATCCAGTCCAGTGAGACATTTTTTTTGCATTGATCACGTCAGGTCATTTGAGGTTACAGTGAACGTTATGTTTCGGTAAATGTAACAGATCTTCTTGAATTTCCGTTACATCTATGTACCTAATACGAGTATATTATATAAAGGTAAACATTGTTTAATAGCCTAGGTTGTAGTAGACGGTGCATGCTCCGATTACAAGCCTATTAACGCTGGTGTTCCACAAGGCTGCATGCTATCACCAACGCTGTATCTTCTGCATATCAATGATATGTTGCAAACCGGTAACATTCATTGCTATGCAGACGATAACACTGGTGATGGTTTATACACCGGCCGTGTCAATATTTCTCGGAAAAACGTCGCCAAGTACCGGAACAAATTTGTGTCTGAAGTCGAGACTTTGTTGAATAAAGTCTCAGACCGGGGGCGACTAAATCTAGTCCATTTCAATCCACAGAAGACACAAATTTGCGCGTTTATCGGTAAAAAGTACCCCTTTTTCGTATCTCCTCAGTTTCATTCATCAAGGCATTCCCCTTGTTGCCGCAGCCAGTATCGGAATCCTCGGTGTCTTTCATGCCGGCACACCGCTTGCAACTTTACAAGGCGCAGGTTCAGCCTCACATGGAATACTGTTTCCATCTCTGGCCAGGGGCTCACCAGTGCCAACTCCTTCCACTTGACCGCATCCAGCGCAGAGCGGTTCGAATTGTCGACGACCGAGTTATTTCCGACCGGCTTGACTCACTGGCAATGCATAGAGATGTTGCATCTCTTTGCGTATTTTATCGCATCTATCACGGGGAGTGCTCTGAGGAATTATTCGGACTAATTCCAGCTGCCAACTTTCACCATCGCACATCGTGACAAAACTCGCGATACCATCCATACCATCTGGATGATTGGCGGTCCACCACTGCGCGATTTAGAAGAAGTTTTCGTCCTCGCACAACTTCCTTGTGGAATCGTTTACCACCAGCGATTTTTCCGGACCGATACGACTTAGGGACCTTCAAGAAAAGAGCCTACTCCTTTTTAAAAGTCCGGCAACGCATCTGCAATTACCCTGGTGATGCAGTTGTTCATGGGCGGCGGTAGTCACTTACCATCAGGTGAGCTGCATGCTCGTTTGCCCCTTCCCCCCTCCTATAAAAAACCTAGAATATACATCCATGGAAGCACATACTTTTTTTTTAAATATTTTTTGCAAAAGCTTTGAGAACTGTTAAATTCATGTATAAAAAGAAACCTCTTTTACATAGTAATGTGTTTAGTTGTTTAAATCGATTTTAATATGGTGTTTTGAATAATTTTATCAACTTAAAAAATTAATGGTCATCCTGGCTAATTTCCAATGCATCACTTTATTTCTTCCTGTGGGTGTCGTTACAGACAAGGAGAATTACCTACAGACTACGACGACAGGGAGAAATGCCAGGAAGATCTCATGGCTTTCGATGGACGGCAGCAGTGTCGGAAGTGCGAGACATCTGGTATTGTGATCGTCACACATCACAGAACAGTATATCTTCTAGTGTAGCTGCTAAACGTCCTCTACGATTTAAGGCATATACTCCACATAACTGCAGAGGCAGCTCAGCAGTGGACTGTTACGATCTGATTGATTTTTCACGTGGTGGAGCCACGCTGCAGTTATATTATGGTTGTAGCACGAAATAGTCGGCTCAACCGCGGTAGGACCACGCTCTCATAGAACACCAGCGTAAAATAGCAGCTTAATGCTGCTGTATTTCGTATGGTGAGTGTAGATAACCGGACACCCCTTTTACCAGGCCATTACATCTCAGTCCTCAGGGGTGACAACGCATCTGAATTTTGATAACCCAACCTAATTCCGGATTGCTACTGAGAATTTCTTGATAGAAAAACCCAATAACTGATTTTGGCTCGACCCGGGATTCGAATCCGGGATCAGCAATCGCGCTTACAACTACTAGACCAAAGAGGTAGTCATATTATTATTATAATACTTAAATAAAAACAGATTGACTTTTTGTTCTAATCTTGGTTTCAGCAGACACTCGAACAGCGTAGTAGCTAGTAGCCAAGGTATATAGCAAGGTATATATTCTCTGTAGTTAAACATAGATGAAATGATTTGTCGCCAAAGAGCTGAAAACCAAGTTCAATCTACGCTGCCGGTATTAATAAAAATTTTAAAAGCAATTTTAAGTACTGATTGGTAGGGAAAAATATTATTTGTTTCTCATCGAAGGTAAATAAATATGTGTTATCGGTCGGTAGCTCGATCCACATTCGTTAGCGTAAACAAATTAAGGTTAATCCCCATTTATCAAAGGCATTACATAAATCAAAAGAGATTCAACCTTTTTTCTAAAATGTTTGACATGTTGGTACAACAAGTAACATCTGCCAATAAGATAAAACGAAATAAATGTGTCTCCCTGTATGCGCGTGAGTTTTGACTTTCAGCCAATTACAGATATTTAAAATAACATACAAAAATTAAACTTTTAATAAAATGTAAAAGCTTGAAGGACTAAAGATAATAAAATACGGTTAAAATTACAGCCTATATACGTCCCACAGCTGGGCACAGGCCTCCTCTCATATCTGAGAGGGGTTTAGGCCATGCAAATGTCCGCCGCGCTGTGAATAAATAAGTAAATAATTTCCACATAATAGCTTCAGAGGTCAGTGCTAAGACATGTGCATTGAAGAAATAAAGCCCTTCAGATGCCGAATTTATTCTTATTATTTCTTTGAGTCGGCTTTTTTACCCTTTTGAGTGGGCTAAGGAACGTCACAAGCTCGAGGTAACAAGTAGAATGTCGTCTAAACAGTTACTACACGTGCAGTTAAAGAATGGGATTGAAAATGGTATCGCCTCTATTGACCTCTCCCTCGCACACCGTCGTTATCTATGCTCACACAAGCCAGTAAAGACTGCAAAAAAAATAAGTTGCGATATGAGTTTTTCGTACGTTCTATAATTTCAATCAACTTGTCATTGGAATCAATGATAACAGAATGCAATAAACTACAAAAAAAAACTTCAGTCCAGTTTTGCTAATTTGTGAGCTAGACGCGTTCTAGTGAGAGAACTAGAGTACTAAGAGTGAGAGTTTTCTTCATAATTATAGTTCATTTTGTTTGTAAATATTTTTGTATTTGTTTAAAATTTTCGTTTGTCTGTCTGTCCGAGATTATCTTCGGAATGACTGAACCGATTGTAATAAAACTTCACGAACAAATAGAGAGTAATAACACCAGGAGTGATCTAGACTAAATTTTATCCGAATAGAAATATAACAAGAAAAATAAATGTTATTTAATGAATATCTTAGGTCTAAATAGCGTCACATTAATAGATCCCACCGAGGCAAAACCAGAGCGGGTCGCTATTTATAAATGTTATTTTAATATTAATGTAATAAATGTTATTTTAATATTAATGTACTTGGGTACATTTTTCAAATATTTTCCCATTAATAGAAAATTTTAAATTAACAATATACCGTTATTAGTGGGTTTTCGCTATTGGTACTGTGTATGTTGACGGTACGAGCTCGACGAGCCGCCGTTTCTAATCCCATTCTCTACCCGTACGGACTGTACATAAAAATTAAGCCTTATTTTTCCACCCTTTGAGGCGGATTTTTTCCCCAAATTTATAGGAGACCACACCTGGCGTATAAACTATTAAAAAAAAGAATCATCAAAATCGGTTCACAGTGAGGACATCCATAACTTTTTCTGCCAATAGGACGGCGCGGCGCCACTTAAAAATGAGGTAATATTTGAAAGATTTCATAGCGAGGAAGTTAATTTGTTCGAAAAATATAATGGTTAATATTTCTTTCTGTACTATTATATTTTATATTAATTAGATATTTATAAACCAAACTACAGATATTCTTAAAAGTAGAAAAATTTAAAAAAAAGTTGAAATTGCGCGAAAAATTAAAGAACAAAGCACTGAGGTATTGTTTTGTGTATTAATATAATACTCTAGAAACTGATAAATTTTTATTTAAAACTAACTTCTCAATTAAATTACATTGTGCAACAGAAAAACTTCTTCTCTTTAAAAATAAAACAAGATTACTAGCTCTCATTGAGGAAGACATCGCATAACAGCATACAGTCGAATTAAGAACCTCATTATTTTTTCGAACTCGGCTATAAATGTAGAATATATCTGTCTCGGTGATAAAATTTTTACTATTATATTAGTCCCATCTAAGCATAATATAAAAACGCTTGAGGTTACTCAGTAACTGTTATAATCTCTGCATGAGGACCCATACGAGGGGCTATTACAACGATATAGAAATTGCGTGAAAAGTCATTAATTTCATATATAACTATACCTATATAGTTTTTAATATATTTAAAGACATGATTAAGTATTTCAAAACTAAATTTATAATTTATTATTTATTTTTCGTCTTGTAGGTGTCGGAAGGCCTGTCATATAAGATACACACTACCCTGTTTATTTAATGTCCAAGCCAGTTTGGTGAATGACTCGTTGGTCGGTGGCTTTAAACACGATTGCTGATCATCCCGGGTCGGGCCAAAAAACATATATTGAGTTTTTCCGTCAAGAAATTGTCAGTAGCAGCCCGGAGTCAGGTAGTTTACGGTGTCTCACCCCTGTGCCTCGGAATGCATGTAAAGCCGTTGGTCCTGCGCATGCTTTCTCTCCGGTCGTATCGGACTGCCGTCCCTATGACTATGAGAGTGAGGGAATAGAGAGTGCACGTGTGCTTGCGCATACACTCGGGCACTATAATCCTTTCTCTGCGTAGATGGTTAGTAGTGGTCGCCAGACCAAAATTCGGTATTGACACATTGTTATTAATGGTCATATAGAGTTTGTAAAGGTTAGGAAAGTGTTACCCGGCAGGTTGACTAGCAGCAAGAGGAGCAGGCCGGCGGCGAGGTGCGGCGGGTGCTCGGCGCGCCAGCCCATGCCTGCGCTCCCATGTCACGGCCGCGCGCGGCGACTCATTGTCGATGCATCACCTGATCACAAAAATATACATTTATTTCTTACGTGGTAGAGCCACGCTGCAGCTATGTGTATTATGGTTGTAGCACGAATGGGTCGGCTCGATCGGGATGGGACCACGCTCCCACAGAATACCAGCGTAAAATAGCAGCTTAATATTCCTGTGTTCCGTATGGAGAGTATAAAAAACTGGAGCCCATTTTTACTGGAAACGAGGCATTCCATCACAGTACTCAGGGGTGACAACGCATCTGCATTTTTAATACTTTATCGAGGATAAATGTAGATGTCTCTGGGCCACTACGTCCACTTAACATCAGGTGGACTGTGTGATCGTTTGTCACCATTATTATATAAAATAAAAAATAATAAATTTTTTGTTTTAATATTAACCAGAGGGCGTGAGGTCCAGTCCGAATTTGAGTAAAGTTTATTGTTTTTGGAGCCGACTGCAGCTACCCTTACTGAACGGTTGATTGACATGTATGCAGTGTTGTCAGACACACCGAACACTAAAACTGCCTATGGCCGTAAAAAAAACTGTAGAAAACTGTATATGTAAAAAAACTTTAATCTACAGTTTTTTATTTATAATTTTTTTAGATATAAATACAGAGATATATCTCGTAAGGCCTTACAATATAGGCCTCTCCAGTCACAATGCACGGTCCTGAGCTACTTGCAACACTCGTGAGTTAAACATGTAAATGTTATAGTGTTATGTTTAGTTATTGGATGGAAGTTATCGCTTTGTTGGAAATTGGCTCGGAGTCAATCGAGGGAAATGAAAATTTTAATTTCACAGTAATGTGCTCTTCGTGTAGTCGTTTAAATATTATATAAGGCCATCTTACACTAAAATGGCGAAACAATAGGTTACATTACATTCGTCAAACACACATACTAGTCCCTAGGTTTTCCCCTACTGTAGAATCTCTTTTGTTTATGTAAACTTGTGTTGGTTAGTCGTTCTTTCACGACAAAATCCAATTTTTTATATAGCTTAAGTTTTTAAGAGGTTAACGATGATAGTTTTTAAAATTACAAAGTAATACCTAGCTGAATTTCCTTATAAATGCTATTATAAGACTAAGTTTAACAGAAAAGTATACAGTAGTTCGTTTTAAGAATAGAACATAGCTCTCAAAAGCAGCTAAAAGTGTCGTTTTAGAATAAAATTAATTAAATGTTCATTTCATTCAATTAATTCCTAGAAATTCTAGATTAACGATTCAATTCTGACAAAAATAATAAATTCTATTATAATGTAATTCGATTTCTGTCTAAGTATAAAAGCTTGCAACATTTGATAGTAATATTGATATTTTAGTACAATAGAAAATTTTACGCAATAAATATTCAGAGTGCAAAATTCCTAATACCAAATTTTAATTATTTTATTCGACATGTGGCGGCATTCATAACACCACTAGGTCCCTTGTGTGTCGTAAAAGTCGGAAATTTAAATTTTGGACTTCTATCTTGTTTTCCATCACATGGCATTGTGGTCAAGCGTTCACCGGTTTGCTAATAAACAAGACTACATAAAGCTTAATAATTTCGGATAGAGCGAAATAATTATTTTAAAGCTTGCTTGATACGAAATATTTAGACAGAGGTGGTGTTTTGTTCGTTTTTGTCGTCGAAGTCGATCATGAATAGATGAACGTGCTGTAGCGCCGTGGCTACCCAATTAAGGAGCCGCAGATTCTAAACCCTTACTGAACACCACGAAAAGCGAACGTTTATTGTCACTAAATTGTTATTTTTAACAGTGTATTTTTTAAAAGCTTTTAGCTCTGCAAGACTTTCCAACAATTTTGCCATCTTTAAGTACGAATGCATTTCAAAACGTAAAAGAACAGGCGCTTTCTATTCTGTGTGTAACACTAAATACTCTTTCTATTCTATGTGTGACACCGAATACTCTTTCTATTCTGTGTGTAACACCGAATACTCTTTCTGTTCTGAGTGTAACACCAAATACTCTTTATTCTGTGTGTAACAACGAATACTCTTTCTGTTCTGTGTGTAATACCGAATACTCTTTATATTCTGTGTGTAACACCGAATACTCTTTCTATTATGTGTGTAATACCGAACACGCTTTCTGTTCTGTGTGCAACACCGAAAACGTTTTATATTCTGCGTGTAACATCGAATACGCTTTCTGTTCTGTGTGTAACACTGAATACTCTTTATATTCTATGTGTAACACCGAATATTCTTTCTGTTCTGTGTGTAACACTGAATACTCTTTATATTCTGTGTGTAACACCGAATACTCTTTCTATTATGTGTGTAATACCGAACACGCTTTCTGTTCTGTGTGCAACACCGAAAACGTTTTATATTCTGCGTGTAACATCGAATACGCTTTCTGTTCTGTGTGTAACACTGAATACTCTTTATATTCTATGTGTAACACCGAATACTCTTTCTGTTCTGAGTGTAACACCAAATACTCTTTATTCTGTGTGTAACAACGAATACTCTTTCTGTTCTGTGTGTAATACCGAATACTCTTTATATTCTGTGTGTAACACCGAATACTCTTTCTATTATGTGTGTAATACCGAACACGCTTTCTGTTCTGTGTGCAACACCGAAAACGTTTTATATTCTGCGTGTAACATCGAATACGCTTTCTGTTCTGTGTGTAACACTGAATACTCTTTATATTCTATGTGTAACACCGAATATTCTTTCTGTTCTGTGTGTAACACTGAATACTCTTTATATTCTGTGTGTAACACCGAATACTCTTTCTATTATGTGTGTAATACCGAACACGCTTTCTGTTCCGTGTGCAACACCGAAAACGTTTTATATTCTGCGTGTAACATCGAATACGCTTTCTGTTCTGTGTGTAACACTGAATACTCTTTATATTCTATGTGTAACACCGAATATTCTTTCTGTTCTGTGTGTAACACTGAATACTCTTTATATTCTGTGTGTAACACCGAATACTCTTTCTATTATGTGTGTAATACCGAACACGCTTTCTGTTCCGTGTGCAACACCGAAAACGTTTTATATTCTGCGTGTAACATCGAATACGCTTTCTGTTCTGTGTGTAACACTGAATACTCTTTATATTCTATGTGTAACACCGAATATTCTTTCTGTTCTGTGTGTAACACTGAATACTCTTTATATTCTGTCTGTAACACCGAATACTCGGATAAAAATTTCAATTAATACGAGAATAAAAATTCGAGGTCCGACCTGATCCGCATGACGTAGCAAATTGATATCATCGTCCCGCGGCTCAGGGATCAAAAGGTTAACGAAGATTCAACATAAATGTACCCTTCCAAAATCACTTACCGTAATGTCCCATAACTTTGATGTTTATAAGTTTTAAAGATATTTTATGCCTTCGTTTCTAAGTACGATGCCAATTACAACGTTAAAACGTCGAAAAATGTTATAAGACTTTTTTTTTAATTTTTAGCAAAATATTGCACATTCAAAAATCTGGACACGACTGACTATCAAGCTGGTACAATGCCAGCAAGTCCTTATGATCATATTATGATGTAAATTTCTAGAGGGGCCTTTAAAGTAATAAAAATAATATTGATAAAGATACCGCTCCTTTTTTGGTTAACAATCGAACTGCGTTGGTAGCAAACTTTTTGACCACTAAAAACGACATTACACCCAAGAGTAAGTACACCAGTATAATTAAGGCTGTAAGTCATTCTATATTAGTCCTTAAGATCTACCAGGTATCTTTAGACTTCTTCTGTCGCTATTGGTTGCAGGTGTTCATGGACTACAATAGCTACTTATCTTACTTATCATCAGGTGGTCTGGTAGCCTGTCTGTCACCCTAATATAACAATAAAATATTTTTTAATTAATTTAGACCATGGTGACAGTTTTTCAATAAATTAATCACACCAATCGCGCAGGATATACGATAGTATATAATTCTTGCCAAAAACAGAAGTGTAAATACACTTAGGCTGAGATCTATTAAAAACTATCTATTTAAAAACGTTACCCCCCACACTAGGATTTTCTCCTGTGTCGTGGAGGCAGTTTACAAACATAAATTGCACAAGGACAAACATCCAGACCCGGAACAATTATTTGTAGGCCATACAAATACTTGTTCCGTGCGGGATTCGAACCCGCGGCCCCCAGCGCAACAACTGATTGCTAAGCCACTGCGCCACGGAGCCGTCAACTTAAACTTTGCTCAGACTTTACTTTCGAACTAAGACAATGTCGGTATTTATAGAATTAACTTCGAAGTCGTGCTGAGTGCGTGCTTAGCAAAGCCTAAGTCAACGAAATCGACGACTTACGTAAAACTTAGGATATTATCCAAAACCACCGTATTCATTTTAAATTGTTGTTTTTATGTTACTTTAATTATTAATAATAATGAATGGCTAGTTTTAGACCATCTTCTAGTTTTAAATACTATCTAAATTAGTATAAATATAAATATAAATCTAGTTTTCTAAGTCATGTAATAATAACTTATTTATGAAACACAATTGGGACTGTTTTCGATATTTAAATATTATTTTTTTTTTAAATGCATACATTAAAATCAAGAACATCATGCGTGGAATGAAGCATCCATTAATTTTTTGACTGTCTGGGCTTTAGCGTAAGCTTGGCTTAATCTTAGCCCGATACAACTATAAATTCAGAATCAGAGATTATGCGAAGTATATACTCAGCTAAGTCTTTCGTAAGTAAAGTCTGAGCAAAGTCGAAGTACGGTCTATAGATCTCAGCTTTAATCAGGTTACTACATTCATGTCTGATGTAGGTAACCATTTTGCTATAGCACCGATTCTACCGCATAATGATTGCTGTAGTATGCTTGGATGTAGTGTTGGAAACACAGGGACCATTGAAACACATTGAAAGACAGAAAAAAATTTGTGTTTTTATTACAATCGTTCTTCATTATGCTTTGACTAAATTACTGA